ATTTTCCACGTAATTAAAGATTTCAAACAAGAATTGATTTTGTGGCAACTTAACGTGCCATCTGTCATTTCCGTCGACGGAAGGACGAAATTGGTTCAAAAATTGAAGTTCAAGGATTTTTTTAGTATTTTTTGAAGTTCGAGGATAGTTTTAGTTCAAAAATGAAAGTTGAGGGACTGAATCGGGGATATAACCATAATAATAATGATGATGAAAAAAAAAAAAAAGAAAAAGAAAAAAAAATCTAATTATTTTTAAATATATCATTTTTAGTTATTTAATATTAAACAACAACTACTAATTGTTATATAATCTAATAGTTGTATCAATTGAATTCGCTGTCTATACCACTTGCTACTCACTAATCACCATCCACTATTTATTAATCAACATTCACTATCCACTATTCGCTACCTGCTACCTATTATTTGCTATTCACTACCTATTACCTACTTTCCTTTGAATTTTAAACCTTATAATAAATAAGCCCTTGATAAAATTGTTCAAAAATGTTAGCTTTTCTAATAATGAATAGTAAAATTGTTCAAAGATATTCGCTTGACTGAAATAAATGACTACAAAATCCATTTTCTAAAATGCATGGTTTCCACGTTTAGAAAATTCTATAAATAATAATAAGAAAGGTAATTTCCCCATACAAACATACAAAGGGTGCCTCCTACTCAGTTTTTGTCCACAATCAAACTCAACTTTTCTTAGATCCCTTTTTGCTACTTCTCATTTGCAATCATCTTCATCCCCACCAAACCCTAATTTCTCTCTTTCACTTTCCCCACACAGAACCCAACAAAGAAGATCGAAAGAACATAAAACAATCCAAAGAACAGAGCAAGAAATTCAGAGGACATCAGTTCCATCATCATGAGGAATCCGAATCCATCCTCAGCGTCAACGAGAAAGACTACTACACCCTGTTGCAGCAAGGTGGGTATAAAGAGAGGACCCTGGACGGTGGTGGAAGACGAGCTCCTAGCCAACTACATCAACCGGGAAGGCGAGGGCCGCTGGCGCACGTTACCAAAGCGTGCTGGGCTGCTCAGGTGCGGCAAGAGTTGCCGCCTCCGCTGGATGAATTATCTCCGTCCATCTATTAAGAGAGGTCGTATTGCTCCCGATGAAGAAGATCTCATCCTCCGCCTCCACCGCTTGCTCGGTAACAGGTATACTCAGATTGAACAGGAGCTCTGTACTAAATTTTAGGTTATCATTTTCTTCATTCTCTTACACAAAATTAATAATACATGATTGCGTAGTATATCTTAATCGGATTTCATGTCCAACATATAGTGTTTTTCGGGACTTGTTTTCCATTTTTGGGTTCAATTATGATCCTTTTTTGCAGGTGGTCTTTAATAGCCGGAAGGATTCCGGGTCGGACCGACAATGAGATCAAGAATTATTGGAACACCCATCTAAGCAAGAAGTTAATTAGCCAAGGAATTGATCCAAGAACCCATAAGCCTTTGAATCTGATAAAACCTAGTTCCTCAAATCCCTCGCAAAATAATCCTCCCCCAACATCAAACCCTAATCCCAGCTCTAAATCTTCTGAGTTAGAACAAACTGCAGCCAAGATCACGCCTGGAAATCCACAACAGCACTTCACAACAACCAACCTGTATTACCCATATCAAAATCAGGCACTTGTTGATAAAACAGACGGAAATCGGAGAGACTTTGAGGGTTTAGTGGAGGATCTACCAAGTTCCAGCCACGTTCATGGCAATGGAGGAGATTATGTGGAGAATTGCAATGAGGATGACTTCTCTGCGTTTCTCGATTCATTGATTAGCGACAATGTTATTGAAAATCAGCATCAACAGTAAGCTAACATTGTGGCTTCTACGCGGCAGACATTCAATGATGAGAACATTTGGGAAGCTGAGGTGTTGTCTTCATTGGCGGTATTCGGAAATGAGCAAAATTCTTTGAACAATATTCACCTTTCGCCAACGCTATCCAGGCGATGAACTAGCTAGTACGAACTTGTATTAGAGATAATCTAATCTTATATATATATATATATATACCGATATATATCCTTAATTAAAGGAAACAATAGTAGCTTTGGATATGATTTTATACAATTATTGTGTATTTCTATTAATTGTTTGTGTGTGATTGTGTCAATGTTATGCTTATAGAAAAACTCATTGTTGTACAAAGAAAAAGCTTATAGATATTACGTTCTATTATTGTCTCAAATGATCAGTGCCATTGATGCGTACTAGTGTTTGCAGTGTTTCTATACACATGGAATTATCACGAACTGATTTTTGTCATCTTTTGCACACATATTTATAGCCATGCATACATAGACAAGCATGCATGCATACATTAAATGTACTTCATTATTTGAATTAGCTAGAAAGTACGCATCGATATACACACTAGCATGAAACTTTGACCTTTTTATTTTCTCCTTGCTAATTAGTTTCAATTTCTTTATTTTCATGAAACTATTTTCTTTTAACATATTTTGGTGTTCTAGCTAGCTATGTTGTAGAGAAATTTCTTGTAAAAATAACCCTTTTCCTTTGAGTGTGTAATACATAGATAGATGTAGATAATTCGTAGATAGTATCTGCAACTCTCATGAAATTTCTAGGTTTTTTTTTTTTTTTTTTTTGGTAGTGAAAACTTCGAATGTTGACTATAAGTTTTCTTCTAGTTTTAATCATCTCATGCATGAATTATAATAGGAGGAAAGCTTTTGTTCCATGCTTCTCCTATAATTGAACAAGCTAAGTCATGACAAAGATAATTTTTAATGCTTGTCTCAAAACATACAGAAGCATGAATGCATGAACATTTAAAAAGAAAAAAAAAAAACATGAATGCATGAATAAATGCTTCTGCTTCTAGAGATGAGATAGAAAATTGGAAAGTGATGAGAATTGTGGGAATCGACTCCACAAAAATCATATATGATGTGTAACTACATTGTATAAGTGAGAGAGATGAGAAAGAGAGAGGTAGAGAGAGAGTGAGAAGGGCAGGAGGCGGACGTTGATCATAGGCAAGACAAACAATACTGTATCGAGAGCATGGAAGATCACGAGAAAGAAGCCAACAGAGGAGGGATGAAGCAGGAAGGCAGAGACAATTGTAGTGTGACCAGTATCAGTTTCAAAAAGAGTAGCAAAGGGAATCTTATAACTGGAATCATACGATAGAGGCTTGTATAAACAAGCCACTCCATATTTTTTTACCAACTTCCCAAAGGATTGGAGTTATGCAGATATGTGGAGAACTTTTTTGACATTTGAAAGGGTCTATGACATTTACAGTCCAAATAGGAAAAGCGGGAATGGAAGCAGGTTCTGGTTTGTAAGATTTCTAGATGTTAAGAACAAGAAGGAACTGGAAAGGCAATTAGATCAAATTTGGATCAGGGGACGTAAATTATGGGTTAACATCCCAAGATATGAAGAAAAGAAGAATGAGGACATGGAGAAAAGAAATAAGCAAGAAATGAAGCCGAGAACATAGTACAGAAGCTATGCAGAAGTAGTGAGAATCCAAGAAGAGAAAAGTGTGCAAGAGGAAAAGAATGTATAGAGCAATGAAGATCAGAATAAGGGAAGAAAGAGGAGTAGAAGCAGAACAAGGTTGGGAAACTGATTTCTAGGAAGCAAAAAAATATGGCAACAAAAAGGACAAGGGGAGAATTGGTCGAGAATAGAGTATAATGTTAAAACAAAGGATTACTCTTGGCTTGATGGTTGTTATGTGGGTACGGTTCATTCTGTAGAAATGGTTCGAAATCTATAGGAAAAATTCTACATGGAAGGGTATTACTCATACCAAATTTGAGCTATGGGTGGGAAATTGGTTCTGTTAGATTGAGAAGACAAGGAAGAATTGAAAGACCTAGTGGAGTTGGGATCAAATTGGCTTGAACAATGGTTTAAAGAGGTGCGTCCTTGGACACCTGAAATGGTGAGTAATGAGACGTTTGTTTGGATGAGATTTCAGGGGGTACCATTAAATGCTTGGGAACATGATTTGTTTGCAACCATGGGCTGTTCATGGGGAAAATTCATATGTTTGGATGATAGTACAAGTAAAAGAAAGAGGTTTGATGTTGCTAGATTCTTGATCTCCACCCTGATAATGAACACAATATCAGTGATGCGACAAGTTAAAGTTAATGGGATCTCGTATAACATAAAATTCACAAAAGAGTTCACTAACATCTTCTTTTCATTGAAACGAGACTTTATGCCCACTTTTCAAAGTAAATCGAAGGAGTTTGAATCATGGTCCATGGATAGTGACATGGAGGAGCATGAGTTGGAAAAAGCAGGGGATAATGAAAAAATTGAGATAAGAACTCCAATGACAGAGGTAGAAGATGATGACGTGGCAAAACTTACACAAGAAGATAACAAAAGTCCTCGAACACAAGATAGGGGAAAGGATGAAGGGTCTGTTCAAGAAGTAGGTGACAGCCTAGAGGAAATTCAAAATTTGATTGATGTCGAAGGCAGAGAAAGGGCAAAAGGACTGATGCAGAAACAGGGAGAGCGTCAACTGTCAGCGGGTTTTGAGGAAGATAATAGAGTGCATTTGAGCTGCAAAGAAAACCCAAAAGAAAAGATCTACAAAGAGCCCATAGTTAGACTGGACAGCCCAGTATTGGAGGAGGCGACAAACATGGGCTTGGCCCAATTAAGCACAACGGGGAATACAAAATCAGCTAAAAAAGAAGAAGAATCCAAAAATAGAGGGAGTGCTGGCGAAAATGTCGAGGAAGAGGGGGAAGACCCATTCTGGAAAGGGTTCAAAAGTGAGGAAGGACGACTAAAAGAATGGATGGGAAGAAAGATAGTAAGGAATCCAAAGAGAAAGAAGAGGAGAATTAGATCATGCAAGGTGATGTACTTGAAACCTAAAGCAATTGGAGAAGAAACACAAAGAAGAAAGGGACAAGGAAGACAAAGCAAGCAAAAAACAAAGGAGTGGACATCATCAGAATCTATATCATGTTCCGATGGCCAAGCCATCGATGCTTCAGTTGGAGATAGTGAAATTCGGAATTGTAACAGAATATGGAAGAGGCAAATGCAACAATAGATAGCACAAGAAATTTGGGATTTTGCCAAGAGCTAGGTGTGGTGGTTGAGAACAAAGAGGAGGTTGTCTAGAAAATTGAAGAGACAGAAGAGTAAAAGAAAAAATGGTGATGAAAGATGTTGGTGGTGTAAAGAGGGTAAGTAATAACCTTAATGATTCTGTTGTCATTTAATATAAGAGGTCTTGGAAGGGTTGGGAAAAAAAGACAGATTAGGGATATTGTTAGGAAGGAGAAAGTAGAATTTTTAGCACTTCAAGAGATTAAGATGGAGAAAGTGGACAGGAATGTATGTAGGAGGTTATGGGGAATTGATGATCATAAATGGATTATGAAACCATCAGAGGGTTTGTCAGGAGGATTATTGTGTATTTGGAGCTCAAAAGTGTTCAAAATGAAGAAAGTCCTTGAGGGAAGAAACTATATCGGTGTGTTTGGGTTATGGGGAGAAAAGGAGATACCAGTTTATATTATGAACATATATTGTCCTTGTTTATTAATGGGCAAAAGAGCTTTATGGGAAGAATTGCAAACAATGGTTACTAGTTGCAAGGGTAATTGGTGCTTGATGAGGGATTTCAATGCGGTGAGAAGAACAATAGAAAGGGCAGGGTGTAAAGGGGTATTGAGGGAAATGAATGACCTTGATTGCTTTATTCATGAATCTGGATTGGTAGACTTGCCCTTAATAGATAGGAAGTATACTTGGTATAACTCCAATGGCCAACACATGAGCAGAATAGACAAATTCGTGCTATCGGAAGATTGGGTTATGAATTGGAGTGATGTTAAGCAATGGGGGTTGAGTAGAATAATGTTAGATCACTACGTTATCCTACTAAAAAATGAGATGGTTGATTGGGGCCCTAAACACTTCAAGTTCTTTGATGCTTGGCTGGAACAATCGGGATGCACAGAGGTGATAAAAAATGCATGGAACTCTAGTGGGAGAAAGGGTTGGAAATGCTTTAGGTTCAAGGAGAAGCTAAAAGGAACCAAGAAAGCCTTAAAGGAGTGGAGTGGAAATTCCACAACGGAAGTTGATAGTAAAATAAAAGAAGCTGAAAAGGAGATTACGTCACTAGATGAAAAAGGTGAGAAAGCCCAATTGTCTGCAAGTGATGTCAAGAACAGGAGAAACTATTTTCTTGAGCTATGGAAGTATCAGAAAATTAAGGACAACATGTGGCAACAGAAGTCAAGGATATTGTGGCTAAAAGAAAGGGATGCAAATACAAAGTTTTCCCATAAATGTGTGAAGGGAAGATGGAGAAGAAATGAGATAAATAGCTTACAAATCAATGGTAAACAACACAGGGGGGTAACTGAAATGAAAGAGGAGGTAGCTAATTCTTTTGGAAAGTACGTTTACAGAGGAGCAGTGGCAGAGACCGAAACTTGAAGGTATTGATCTGAAACAAATATCCCACACAGATAGTGAACTTTTCACGGCAAAATTCTCCAAAGAGGAGATTAAACAAGTAGTTTGGGATTGCGAATCTTCGAAATCTCTGGGTCCAAATGGATTTAATTTCAAGTTTGTGAAGGTTATGTGGGAAGACATTAAAGTAGATATTGGTGGGTTTTTACAGGAGTTTCACAAACATGGTAGACTAGTTAAAGGGTCAAATGCATCATTCATTGTCTTAATCCCAAAGGTAGACAACCCCCAAAGAATTGAAGAGTACAGACCCATTTCATTAATAGGGGTCATGTACAAGATAATTGCAAAGCCATTAGCTAATCGACTTCGTAAAGTTCTACCAAAGATTATTGGGGAGTAGCAAATGGCATACATCTGAAGCAGACAGTTGGTACATGGAGTTGTAGTGGCAAATGAAGTAGTTGATGTGGCAAAGAGGAAGAAGAAGAAGAGCTTCCTTCTCAAAGTCGATTTTGAGAAAGCATACGATAAAGTATGCTGGGAATTTATAGATTATATGATGATGAGAATGGGATTTAATGTTACTTGGAGGAAATGGATACAAGAGTGTCTACAATCAAGTCAGGTATCAGTGCTAGTCAATTGGAGCCCAACAAAGCAATTCCATGTCAACAAAGGCATATGACAAGGCGACCCACTATCCCCATTTTTATTCTTGACTGTGGCAGAAGGGCTTAATGGGTTAGTGTCTTCTGCAATGGGTAAAGAGCTGTATAAGGGAGTGATGGTAGGAAATGGTGCTATTTTAGTTTCTCACCTACAATGTGTAGATGATACCATATTTTTTGAGGAGGCATCCGAAGATAACATCAAGGCGGTTAAATGTATTATGAGAATTTTCGAGCTTGTCTCAGGGCTCAAAATCAACTTCGAGAAAAGCCAGCTAATGGGAGTTGGAGTTGAGGAGGATTGGAGAGAGAAAATGGCTATTAGATTATGTTGTAAAGTGGGGGATTTCCCATTTAAATACTTGGGGATCCCTACTGGAGGAAACCATAGAAGGCTAACAATGTAGCAACCATTGGTGGAATCTTTTAAAACGAAGTTAGCAAGTTGGAAGGTCGGCATCTCTCTTTTGGCGGTCGAATCACGCTCATCAATTCAGTGTTGTCTGGTATACTTGTCTTCTGGATGTCCATCTACCTAATCCTGAAAGGTATACTTATTTCTATTGATAAAATTCGCAAAAATTTTCTATGGGGAAGAGAGGGAGAAAAGAAAAAAATTAATTGGGTAAGTTGGGATAAAGTGTGCAAACAAAAAGAGCATGGAAGGCTGGGAGTGAGGGACTTAAGAAAGTTTAATTTAGTTGTGATGGGGCAATGGTGGGGACGATTAGCATCAAGTAAAGAGGGATTGTGGAGAGAAGTTATGGAAGGAAAATACAGGAATGAAGGGGGTCATTGGTTCGATTGGGTAAGAGAGGGTAGAGGAGTAGGCTCACTATGGTGGAGGGATGTGTGTGCTCTCAACATAGTGGATCGAGTTAGAGAAGGGTGGTTGGTAGAGGGATTTAGGATAAAATTAGGGAAAGGGATTAATGTGAGCTTTTGGTGGGATAGGTGGTGTGGGGAGGAGTGTCTTGCTAATAAATTTCCAAGATTGTATCTCTTATCAACAGGAAAAGAGAAAGAATGCAACCAAATGGGCAATACAAATGACGGAATATGGAAATGGGACCTTGCATGGAGAAGAGCTTTGTTCGAACGGGAAGATGATGCTGTTAAGGAACTGTACAATACAATAAAAGACATAAGGCTCTCACCAGGCAAACCTAACAAGTGGATGTGGGTACACAACAAGGATGGCCAATACTCAACCAACTTAGCTTACTCATAGTTGATAAAGGAGCAGAGTGGAGCAAAGGGAGGTTCAACCTTCAAGAGAGTCTGGAATCCCATACTTCCGAACAAAATAGAAGCGTTTAATTGGTAGCTAATGTTAGATAGAATCCCAACAAAACTTAACTTGCAAAAAAGAGGGATCACCAACGACTTGGGAGAAAGCAAGTGTGTTATGTGTCAAGAAGAGGAGGAGGATTCTAACCACTTATTCTTAAAAGGTTTAAGTACCATTTTGGTCCCTCAACTTTTCACTTTGATACCAAAATTGTCCCTCACCTTCAAAAAGTACCAAAATTATCCTTAAACTTTTATTTTCGGTACCAAAATAATCCTT